TATTTGTGGTTACTAGTTAATTTTTGTTTGTTGTGATGACTTCCATTTATTGTGGAAGTGCTTGATGAAGAGGTTCGATGGCAGCTATCATTCCATAACGACTTCTGATTCCCATTCTTCGATAGTCGTTTAATTTTATATTACGTTCATGTTGATGCAGTTCACGAGACATCCTTTTTAAGTTTGGGTGAGCCTTCGTCCGTCATACGACAGTCAGTATTAGAACTCATTCTTATAAAAGATTGAGAGTAATTGGCTATACCGGTGTATCTTATTGACTTATTTTTGACTTAAAGCTTTCACTTCAACTGAAAGAGGATGTCTCGTGGGGCAAGCCAGCCTGAATTCCTTAACAGGATAAATTAACGGCAGAAAGACTGGATTAAGGCGTCGTTTTCTAGTGAAGTCGACGTTCGAATCCCTTCACCGCATTCTTGCCCTCAAAATTAATGTTATCTTGGGAGATTTTTCGAAACCCTTCGTACATACAATTTTTGTTAGATCCTTTTTTCACTTTGTAGGAGCAACAATTAACTGAGCTTAATCTAAGAAATGTCGATTTATGTTCATTCAGTCTAGCTTCGCCGTATGAGGGCTTTAATTTGATCCGAACACGAAAGAGGGGGCTTAACGCAATTTCAGTTTAATAATCTGTCGTTTTAACTATAGAGTTAAGAGCGCTTAGAATACACCGACTTTATCCTTAATTGTCTCAAGTTGGGATAATACCTGACGTTTTCAATCATCTTTCTCCATTTGTTCCTACTTCCAATCGTTATGTAATGATTTATAGAATATGCCTAATATTACCGTCAGATTCACTCAACTGTCCATTGGAAAAGTTTTTCATAATTTCGGTTAAACTGCAGTCCCCAGTTCGTATATGCTTCATCGGAAGCCCTCCGCAGATGTCGATCTTTGAAAACAAAATCCTTCGTTCACATACTCTCTTGCAACATATGGTTATGGGGTGAGTACACTTTTGAAGGCATTCAGAAATAATTTTTTCTGGATCCGCACTCAATTAGTCCGAGGCCCGCTGAATTATGCCAGATCAAGCCGTGACGAGATCGGAATCCCTTTAGACCTTTAATGAGAGAGCACATTTGGAATAAAGTCTCGAGGCGGAAATCAAAGTTGCCAGGTGCTGTAATGGCAAGCGACCAACTGTATTTTAAAAAGGTTTTTAATCTGGCTGGCCGCGGTTTCCGTCTGACGCATTTTATTCGTGATAGACGTCATCTGAGCTGAGCGTATCTTGCCCTGAGAGGCCCGCTGATCCCATAGTCCAATGAAACTTGGGCTTTTTATGATTTGGTGGTGGCACATTGGTACCTGATCCTCCACATCTTGGTCTCGAATCCCATAGTGAATGATGCTCAAGGTCAGACGAGGTTGCACCGGCACTCAGGTTAAGGTGTAATTTATTGGCAAGGCAATGTTTTCTCTTTTCACGCCACTAAGCGATGCTTGGTGTAAATTCAATCTATTGTGCATATTAAATAGAGGGGCCTTATTTTTCAAAAGAGAAAAAATTCAGGCGTCTCGTATTTCATCCTGTTTTTCCTTAGTATGTTATGTAAGTGTACGTGCGGTGTGTGTATGTGTACTCGCGAATGTCTGTTTGCCATTTCTCATGACAATTTTTGTATCTATCTTTGTTCTGCTCAACCCAAACGGGCGTCTTTTTGATGAGCAAATAGAAAGAACATTGCGAGTTGTTAGGACTCATCTTTACTCTTGTCCACGAAGCCCTACTTTTGCATCTCTTATCTGTGATTGCAGTCAGAGCTGGTCACTGTCATCAGTGGTGAGAAGAGTCTCATTTTAGGCGCCCTCTTTATGTCTGTGATTGGCCACAGTCGGCAGCCAAAAGCCAGCCCTATGTACATTGCATTAGAACTTCCCTTTTTCGCCAAACTCCCTTCGCCTCGCTCCTCCATCCCCCTGTTCAAATGTCAAGCGCATGTGATAGTGAGACAGACTTTTGCCCGGTTTTCCAAGGGAACAATACCAATCCAACCATAATCGAAGTCAAAGCTTATCTTTTCTGCCTTCATATGGGAGATTTGTATTCAGTTCCCTAGTGCCCACTCGCCCTGGCAACGATTTGTTCGCCCTTATCACATGTCCTTCTCTACACTTATCTTTCCTACCTTCCTCTGCCTCGACTCACAATTACTCATTCTGACTGGCTTTTTCCAGTCGACCTGGCAAGGGGTGCATTACATGACCCCATAAAATCCCCTGTTTATGCAGCCATGTTTGGATGATCGTGGCTATTATGTCTAGGCATCCTGGTACCTCTTCCCGTCTAGCCTCATCTTCTCTTGGACGCAATGAAGCCTGTATATTCGTATCTACACAACTTAATCCGATGATCATAGTTATGAGGAAATGCGTAAATTGATCTCCTCTGCTGGGGCCATTAGTTTATATCTTTGCGTTAGTGCTAAATAACCGGACATTTTAGCTACCATTTTGGCTAGTACTTACAGTTCCGCGTAAACTCTTATTGCAATGAACACACGCATAGCTACAACAGTCGTGCAGGTGAGGATGGGGAAAGAAAGGGCATGACACAATCCAACCTGACAACCTGCTTGCACCCATCTCCTCTTCCGATTGCCTCACCTCCCATGTTTATCATGCAAAACGTCACTTTTAATTAGGCTTTGAAATTGACTCCAGCTGAGCTTTCCGTTGCTAATGGGAATCTGACGGATAATTGTGTACACGTGTTTGTGCGAATTGACATCAATTTACTCTTCTTTCTGTACATATCCGAGGTTTCCTGATGCCTCTGAGGATGCTCTATGCCTCTCTACACTTGGAAATGGCAGCCCATTACCGACATTGAGTCTGCCGTATCCCCCTTCATGTATTTTTCCATTAATCTTTCCTCATTCTCTGTTTACATGCCTGGTCCTAGCATTTGCATTGTTATTTACTTCTGATGGTATCATCACGATCCGTGCCATTAGTATCATCAGCCACGGCCATCGGGTTTCCTGTTTTTGTGTCTGTCTATTTTTCATTAATTATCGCCCTGTTAAAATGCGGTTTATTTGAGAGATAGGCCTTTGTGTATTAGCACCTGATGGGTAGATTCTCGTTCCATTACATATCTGGTCGTCCTTTCCTTTTTATTCCCTTAAGTTCAAGATTTTGATTTTGCCCTAGTTTTGTCTTTTCTGTATTTCCTCCTTATTTCATTCCTTCTTCAATCTCTTTGCCTGCATAACTTTGTTCTGCTCTTGCAACCATGCAAATAAGAACCGCATTACTATTATTTTTTAACGTTAAGTACTTGTTGGAGCTTTTGGACCCTTCCAGCCAACTTCATTCACACTTGTGACGTCGGTCTTGTATAATAGCGCCTTTGCTGCACATTGACTCTTCTTTGGCTGAATTGATCAAAGTAAATAAAAACCCACTTCTTACAAAACATGACTTCCGAAACGTATATTGCTGCTGTCAGGTTTTGAAATAATAATGTGTGTATTGAAGCGTGCACCACTTTTGTATTCGTCGCCTAACAGTGGCTTTGTTGTAGAGATGTGTACTATCTGCACTTAATTTTGAGCAGATTAGGAATCATAGCGGTATATTTTGACATTGTTCTTTACCAATGCCCACAGTGGGGAGGATCGTCCTGACGAGCAAGAGAGGCTCTTCATATCGTAAGAGGACCTCAGATAACTTGTTTCAACTGCCCTCTGAAATGGTTGTACCCGCTATGCGGTGCTTGCTAACTTGCTACTACTAAAATTATTAGTTGTATCGCAATCCTTGTGTGCATACCTGTATATTTTTGCCGTCTGGGAGGGATGCTAAGCCCACAGCTATGGTGATTGCATGTAAAACTTAGGGTGGAGACTGCAAATGATAATCTGCGGTTGAAGTACTCAGATTCTTGGCGAATCGGCCGAGCTCGCTTTTTATCTGTCCTATCCTAGAAACGAGCCTTGTTAACAGGCTTCTAGAAGCATTACGGCAAGCGGAGCTGGGATACCAATAGTGTGGTTTGTCGGTGGCAGTATATTTGGTGAAATGTACTTCGGGTTAGTTGGTCTGGTATCACTGTATAACATTATCACCAATTTCATTTGCCTATTCTATACCCTTTTGTCGAACTGTCTGGTGCTGCATTTTTTTCGCTCATCGTATGTCTTGTGTTCTGGATAAAGGACAATCAAAAATGTGTCTCGTCTAAACACTGTTTTGCAATTGGTTTTCTATCCTTGCTTTCTACTGAGCACTCTAGATGGGGTCTGTTGCAAAAAGTTGCTTACTCTTATCGACTAGTCCAGACGAAGCTGTCATCCTGAGGCTCAGGAAAAACCTAGAACATTAATTAAATGAATTAACGTGCTTCTGCATGTGCCGTAACATTAGACTATTATTAACATACTACTCTCTTTCCTCTAATTAAATTCAACATGCTCAAACCGCCCGATCCATTGCATGGTTTTTGTTGTTTAATCTATTATTATTTTCGCTTGTTTTGGACCTTTCGGAATATCAATTAGATAGACCATTTTCACATGATCCCACAGACACTGGCAACCTTTCTTCTCGAGAGAAAAATGTCATTTTCCTTGTCGAAATCCCCTCTGTCATTTGTTAAAAATGTCTGTTTTGGGGCGGACTGAACTGTACCCACGGCGGGATTCGAACCCTGGGTCTCTTGTGCCTTCTTTTCGGGTGATTTCGATTCTTCTGTGGGCAGCGTCAATTCTTCATAGTCCCTCCACGCCATGGTACTGGATCATCAGGTCTTTTTCGTCAAGTAAGGACTCACTCTCTTCGACTCGTAGGCAAGGAGGGATAACGCATGCTGTTGCTATTTTCATCTTGTCCTTATTGAGCATGGCTTGTCTGGCAATATAGTTGGTTGAATTGTTTTGATTTTCTTAAAAAAATCACGACTTATTGATGTATTATGTTTGCGTGTTTTCGTCTTTAATGGAATAGAATAAGTGAGGGGACTTTGATTGGAGTTTTGTTTGTGGAAGAACTCGAGCAAAAACGATTACACGTCGGTCTGCTGTGTTCAACGTTGGAGATAATCTTTTGTTTGAAAGAGCCGTTTCATTTACTAACCCTCAGCCTCAATACGTCTGTGATCACATACTCCCATCATACGTTTATTAAAATTAAGCTTTGTAATCAGATGTGTGCTCAACCTCTTCCTATAGCGACTTTCGATGCTTCCTTCCTCTCGCCTCTGTTAGAGTTGGCAACACTAACCTATACCTGTCCGCTTCAAGTAGGTTCCAGAGGCAATGCTTAGCGTTTAGCTGGATGCGAGCCCAGTTTATTACTATTATTATTCCACCCTGTCTTTATTATCATCTGTTCCTTCTTCTTCTGTTTCTGCTTTCTATTCTCTTGTTGCTGTTGTTTCTTCTTCGGGTTGTGGGCAAGCGAGTTTTTTTGGAAGCCATCCTCTGTCGGTTAGGCCGCTGGTCCCCATGTCGAACGTCTTGTTTCTCAAAGTCCCTGGATTTCATTGTCTCTTAGAGGCCCTATAAGCCTCTTTTGGATATGATCTGGTCTGTCGTAACGAAGGTTATTATTTCATACTGGTGACAAACGAAATATCCATATTTTAGCAAATTTCAGTGTTATTTATGCATCGATAGTCTGGATTATAGGCTCAGTATCCTGATTAAAAGGATCAGTTGACCAAGGCTAATCGGCTTCTAATAAGCTACAGTTTAATGTTCGGCTCTATGTTTATCTTTACTATATTTCAGGCAAACCGAAACTTACTATGCCACGTTGCAACTGCATCTGATTCCACTCATAGGACGATTTCAGCCTCTTAGTTCGACTCCAAACGGAATTATTTTAAAAGGAATCCTTCATGTGGGCCTGCATAATTGGCGATAAAGTAGCTGAGGATTTGTACTCTCTTTTTTGTTTATTAGAGTCACTTCTTTTATTGTTACTAGCCCCCCAGAGGCCTTAACCATCGAATAAAGAACCAAATATATCAGGTTACTCGATAGTTCGCTTGTTCCTCGTGAACAATAATAAGTAAACCATCCAAAAGTGTTTCCCGTTCTTGGTTAGCTTTGAAAATATGTAAAGACTTTGATTAAGAATCCGATTTTAGGTAATAGTTCGAGGATTAATAGTTTATTTTTACTCATTGAATTTCATTTAGTTTTCTACCGTGTCCTCACAATTTGTCTTTGATACTGCTCGCAAAGTATTTAGTAATAACTTTGAGCATAATGGAAAATGTGTCTTCATTACCAACATCACTAAGCTTGACGAAAATATCATCAGATTTCACTAATTATTATTTGTGCTGCTTATATAGCCGATTTGTATTAGCTTAATACATCCTATATTTATTCATAGATTGCACAATGAACAGTACTGTGGCTCTCAAAAGCATAACCCTTGTACTTCTATTCGGGATATTTCCCGATTTCATTCTTTTATGCTTGTTACGTCTTTCATCTTGCTTGAAAGAGTGACTAAACTGAAACCCAAATTAAGTTCATTATGGCCTCATGACGGCCGATGTGATAATAGACCACAATTTTAAAGAATCTGTGCTTATCTTTTTTCTATCCTAACTTGTCCGTTAGTATCGGAGAGGTGTGAAATAACCAACCGACTAATGCGATGCATATTTAGATGGGCTAGACTAGGCTGTATGAGGTAGTTTGAACATCAATCAACTGTCCATCTTGTCTGAGTGCTTGGTGAAATTTTCTTAAAGAAGGTCTTCCGTCTTTAACAGTGTTTGTCATTGTTGAACGTACGAAATATCAATACGGGTTTATCGAAGTTGAAGGACGGCTATTCAAAGAATTCTTCGCAAAAAATAGGCCTTCACAACGCCAAGACTATCTTTCTTCGGCTTTTACCAGCCTTTTCAAACGAAATGAAGGTTCAAAAATATGAATTTTTCAAAGGATTCTCCAAAACTTATCTTTTATTTACATATAGGTAGTAATAATATGTGCATATCTACAATATATATACATATATATGCTTATTATACTTGCAATATATATTTATACTTTTACATATAAATATGTATATTTAAACTCCTTCACATATAAAACTAATCAAATCTGTTTGTCACAAAACCTCTCAATCGATGTTGTTTTAAAATAGTGATATGAGGTGTGTGCACCCTATTTTGTTTAAAGTGATAATTGAAATAGCCATGCCTATTGTCGGCAATCATGT